CATGAGATTTAAATAGAGCTGTATACAAACACATGTGAAACCATTTAATATACTATAATCTGGTACCTTTGCCAATTTCTCAGGAATAAGCTCCTCCTTTGGCCCACCAATTTCTTCATCATCATCATCTTTTTTCTTTTTCTGGTTTCGTTGCTGCTTCTCTTTTTCAGCATTCTTTTTTTCTTCTTCCAGTTGAGCTTTTTTCTGAGCTCTCCTCTGTTTATTGCGTAGCTTCTTTAACTCTTTATCAGACATATTTGCTGTATAGAAAAACACACTTGCTTGTATATCAAGAAAATCCACTTTTTATTTCATTTTCAAATTAAGCATTTATTTAAGTTTTCTAGTTCAAATCTTTCAAGTACAAAATTAAGTGACTTTTAAATCCATATCACAAACTCCCTAATTTGATCTTCTCCAAAGCACTTGTATTGTTGCCCTCTAGTGTCGGCTTCTTTCAAAGAGTGGTTCTGCCTATGATGAAGGAAGCAAAAATACACCCCTTTTTCTAGAAGTTATTATAGAACTCATCGTTGTATTATGGTGGTTCTCCTCCTATCTCTTGATTAATTCAAGTCAGTTTTTATTGAGGAGGGAGGGTTGGCAGATTGAGCCCAGGGCCTGTGCTGTGTGTAATTCTGTGGAACACTTGTTTTGTTCAATATTTACATGACATCCGTGGGCAAGGTTACTAGTCAAGTAAAGTATCATGAGCAGGTAGATGATATTCAGTTGTATAACTTGACCCCACTCCAGCCAGTTGATAACGTTTTGTCGGTGTGTAGAAGTTGTGGAATAAGAGGGAAGACTCAGCTTAACTATTCTTAAAATAAAGTGGTTGTGAATATTTGGAGCAATTCCAGAGATTTTCCATCATTAGTTCTGAATGGGACTTACTTCCTTATTAGAGACTGGTGCACAATTTGGGTTTTCTTTTGGACTTGCAGGTCCTACTCAAGGAGCAAATGGCAGCTGTAGCTAGCTGGGATAGCACTTTCACAGATTCATCTTGTACACCATCTAGGCCTGTTCCTAGCCTATGAGGCTTTTTAGACAATCATCCCTTGATCACTTCACATGTGAACTACTGCAATATATTCTACATGGGGCTGCTCTTGAAAACCACAGGAAAGTGCAACTGGCTTTCAAGAGTAGTTATGCAAAAGCATAAGCAGTTGAGGGGATGCTATAATATGCTTACATAACATCTATTTCATAAGCTGTATTGATTATCCTTTGGCTTCCAGGTGTAATTCAAAGTGTAGTTATTACCTATAAAGGCTTTTGTTGCATAGGTCTGTCCATTCTATACAATTGGGTGAACTTGCCATGCTTTGGGTGTATTGAATGCTTTGTTCTACTTAATCAATAATAATCTGATAGGAAATAGGAAGACACTCTGTTGCAGAGAATAAACAGAGCTCCTTCCCACCCACCCCAAATGATTTCTATAGCTGCCTACCCTTTAAAAGGTCCCTAATAACCTGTCCCTTGCTCCAGGATTTAGGATAGGATAGTAGCATGCTACTTATAGGAATGTTTTATGTCCAGTTTGTTTTATTGCTGTTTTTGACATCTTAAAACATTTTGTTATATTGTTCTGAATCTGTTTTATTACTGTATATCACCCAGGGTCATTATGAAGTTAGAAATGTTAGACCTTAGAAATTTTATAAATTTACAAATCCCCACTTTTAAGCTTTGTGCTGTCACATCAACTAAAGTGCTATTTTATGAATGTTTGCTCTGAGCTAGTGCAGTACTGTAATTCTTGAAAATGTTATATGTATGCTGCTTTTGATAGTTTGTAGCTGATTTGAAAAACAATTATATGGTTTTTAAGAGTACAGGTTATCCTCAATTTACAACAATTGATTTAGTGACAGTTCAAAGTTATAATGGCACTGAAAAAAGTGACTTAGGACCGTTTTTCATACTTGTGACTGTTGAAGCATCACCATGATCACATGATCAAAATTAAAATGCTTGGCAACTGATTCATATTTATGACGATTGCAGTGTCCCGGGGTCACATGATCCCCTTTTGCTGCCTTTGTGACAAACAGCATGCAGTGATTCACTTAACAACTGTGGGAAGAAAGGTCATAAAATGGGGCAACACTCACTTAACAAATGTCTCGTTTAGCAATATAAATTTTGGGCTCAATTGTGGTTGTAAGTAGAGGACTACCTGTATTGTATTCAACAATTTCAATTAAAACAGCAGGAATAGCAATATGAAAAAGTTATACAGCATACATGCAGAAGACGCTTAATGTTTTATACCTGGATCAGTTTCACGTTCTTTATTTTCATCTGTCAGAGGGTTATCATGGAGCTTCAAGTATATTTCTATGGCAATTCTTGCAGCTTTAAAATAAAATGGGTGCTGTCGAAGTACATCTTCTAGTTTTAACAAGTCTACATATGACCGAAGTGTAATTTTCCTCATACAGTATGTGTGGAAGTCAAACTGGTCATCTGTGATTTCTACAAAATGCTAACATAATATGTAATTATCTAGCAAGCATCCAATATCACAATAGTACACACTTAACTTAGAAATGACTACTGAGGTTTTAAAACTGAATTTAGCACCATAAAGATGGATGCTGCTAATACAAGCACACATAAGCAACAGTATCCATTCTTTAGCATTCAACACAGAAACAATTAAGCATCAGATCCAGTCTTTGAAATTTGTAGTTTAGAAGGATATCAGATAACATAGCAGGGCAGAAGTCTGTGCCTAAAAGTCAAACCTAACAGTCAGGTCATAAGGGCCGAGACCAGGTTTTTAAAATTGGCATGGCATTTTGAGGGGGTATATATACAGTAGTTACTGATCATTCAAAGTTACAATGGTGCTGAAAAAATAACTTTATGGCCCATTTATGACAATTTATAATCTTTTCAATGCCCCTCACTGATATGATAGTCATTACAGTGAATATATGTTGTATGTGCCTGACCTGTGCACCGCCCCCCCCCCCAGCAGATTGATTGGAGAGAAAAGTTTTGCAAGAAAATGTTTGTTTTTCTAAACATTGAAAACAATGAAACCGCACTAGAAGCCTGGGTCTGGGAGCCATAAATACACTACACAGTTCACAGTACTGTCCTGAAATTCCTTTCACTTCAATCGGTTTGCTCTGGGAAGAAGGAGAAAAGCAAATCTGTCTGTCCTTAGTCTGACCCTTTCCTTCTCCTGAAGAATCACTGCTCTCAATCCATATAAAAGCAAACAGTTTATACTCTCCTGAAATCTTTCTCTCCAATCTCTCTGCTTTACAGGGGTGTTGTGGAAGAAAAACAGTAAGCAAATTTGGTAGACAATTGCTCTTTTGTCTGAATCTTCCCATTCCTGCAGAGCAGAAAAACTGGGGAGGGATTTCAAGAGAGTAAGCTGTTTGTTTTTCTAAATCCATGTAATTTGTGTTAGCAGTCTAGGACTGGAAGGTGTGGCATGCTGCCAAACACCTCACAGTAATCACTTGAAATCTCTCTCTCTCCAACCTGTAGGCAGAGGAGGAGGAATGGGTGAGACAAAAGAGAGATTGCCTACAGAATTTTTCTCTCCACACCCCTTCAGGGGTTGATAGAATTTAGATAGAAAACAGAGAAATATGTGATCTTACAAAGAAGTAAAAAGGACTTCACATTATTAAATAATACGACTGAAAACAAAAATATACCACGCAACACAAACAAGCCCTTATACCTAAAATATTGTCTCAAACTTTATCCCTGAAAAATATAAGACAAGAAGTATTAATGTGAAGTCATTAAATACATACTCTCTCAATTTCATGACATTTTTTAAGTGCTTCTCCAAATTTATTCATTGTTTTATAAGCTTGGGCATATTCTGTCTGGAACCACATACACTGCATTTCATTCAGGTTTTCCACAGCTGATGTTCCTTCCTAGAAAGAAAAAAATAGAAATGTCAGACATGACCCATTGTTACAATAATTTGCTTATACTAAAACAGGAAACTCTGGAGATCATTATTTTTAATCTGAAGTTTGTTTGTTATAATGAGCAGCTCTTAGCACAAGAAAAATATGCTGTTATGAAATTGAGCCATATACAGTACATCCATAAAACCAAATGCAAAAGATTCAGAATGCTATATGTCCCATTCCAATTAGCAGCTGGGAGTTTTTTCATCAAAAAAGCATCAGACATACATTGATCAGGCAAGAAGTGGCTGCAACTAACTAAGAATGTTGCTTTATGAAAATGCAATGTTAACAGCTTTTTTAAAAAAACTTTAATTCCATACTGGAATAGAAAATAGAATGCCAAATAATGTCACAAGCAATTGAAACTTGGCAATGACTGCAGCAACCTTTTAAGTGAAAAGAGTACATCTGGAGTTATTTAGCTTAGAAAAATATAAAGGAATATCATAGACATAATATGATCTAAGAACCCCCCACAATTGATCTCTCCCAGATACTGTACTATATGGAAAAGTCACAAGAGATATTAAAATTACTTTTTTTAAATAAAGCATGGAACATATGATACGCACTATTGCAAGATGTACTGATATGTAACTAGTTGAATGACTTTAAAAGTGGATTAAAAACTCATGGAGATAAAATGCTACATATGGAGCATTTTAATCGCCCATCTCCCTCATAGAGGGGTTGATACATTTCTCAAAACTTATTGCAGAAGGGTTTAATGGATTCATATTTTGCATGGGTACTACCGTGGGTGTTTGTTTGACTGCTATAGAAATAGACATTGAAACTAAATAGCTCTAATTTAAAAATAAAATAACACACTAGAACAGTCCTTTTCATGTTTATATCAGGTTTTAGCATCCAAAAAACACTTTAAAAGGCAATAATGCACAGTATTGCACACTGTAATGGTTGACACTCTAATTGCCACGTATAAAAGTAAAAAAAAAAAAATGAGCTGAACAAACCCTTGTAAATTTAGAACACATTTCTTCAGCTTCTTTTATCAAGCTAGCTTTTAACATGTACTTTGCACATTTGGAGTTGATAAATCTATCTGCGGTGTCCAGTGCCTGAGCCTCATCCATCCACCTTGCAGCTTCTTTTATATTTCCAGCATGCTTAAATGACAGGAGAAAAACAAGTTAGATATATAACATTAACTACAGTGTGGCATATCATTTTTTGATATGTTATAAAAATGTCAGGATAAAAAAGATAGTGGCAATATTATGTCACCCCATAAATTATTCTTTCAAAAATTAACCATGGAAGCATAAAATATATTCACTAAGAAGCAAGGCCTATAGTTTAACATGGTTTACTCCCTAGCAAATATACTTAAATTATAACCTATATAATTTTAGAAATATTTTCTTTATAATTTTGTAATTCTTCACAAATATTGTTCAAGTTCTCTAAAATGTAAAGTTTAAAACAAAAGAAAAATATAGTATACTTCTGGCTAATATGTCCACAAAGGTAGCTGATTTCCAACACAATGAACATTTACCTTATAGATTTTAGCTTTCACAAGGAACAGTTCTATCAAGGTAGGTGTGCTTTCTATTGCAGCATTTATATAGTCTAGAGCTATGGATGGCTGCCCAATTTTGTCATAATGCTGTGCCAAGTAGTATTGGACCCAGAGTAAAGTAGTTGGAGGTTCTTCTTTACCATCATCTATTTGGACAAAATATTGCAGTTTTTTAAAACTTAGCTGTATAACTAATATTGCTTGTGATCACTAATAAAATCATGAGGTGATTACATAAAGTTAACTAAACAAGACATATTCTATTTTCTCTTTTAAGAATGTTTCATGGAAAATGTGCTGTATATTTCTATTGATTTTATATTTCATGACAAGTATATATTAAAACTTATTTTAATATAATTTGGGAAAGCGTTTCAAGGCTGCAGCTATTACACTAAAATGAAAACGGAGACCAGATAGGACCATCTGAGTGATTAGTTCATCTACTGCTAAAATAATATTGATAATCCCGACTTGTCCCAACCATCTTATACAAGGGTACCAGATAGAACATATCCTACATTTAATCCTGACCCTGAATATATCTGCAGCTTATGGGAATAAGTAATGGAAATGGGGAAATTAACATTACACATTATAACTGCAAAAACTGCTTGATGATCCAAATCAGCATGAGTATTTTCTTCATGAATACTGTCAATAAGAATATTGAAATGCCATAGTACTTACCATTTGGGTTAAACAGCCTGTAACTTTTCAGAGAAGTTTCATAACCTACCACCAGTTCCTCTATGATTGCCACCTTATGTGTAAAAAAATAAATATATAAATTTTAGTTCAATGGACTGTAGAACAAATGCATTCTTTATTCATTAGAAATCTAAAAACAATTATGATTGTTAATGATGTATCTGTGACAGAATGTGATGGGGTTCATTTTTGGACCAGCAGTTTATTAAGTAAAGCTGGCAATCGACACACACACACGACTGAGAACTTTTCACTCTTTCTTTACTATATACAGAAGATATTTACAACAGGATGAATAATGTTACTTCCTATGCTCCCTACCAGCAAATTTCCCCACTCTACTTCTCCTGCTTCCTTTTCTTTATGTTCCCTCCCCCTTTTTAGGCTTGATAAGAGATAGAAAGGAAACAAAAGGGCTGGGATTGCTGGAATGTGCTCATCATTGCTTGATTCTCTTTCAAGCTCAACTGAATCACCATCTGCTTCTGCGTTGCAGGAAGAACAGTCTTCTACCCAGTGTTCACCCAATATCAGGGTTACTATTCTGACAGCCAATTTCCCTTTCTGTCCTCTCCAGCCCTTCATGATCTGAAATCTTGGGTGGAGTTTGTCCCTCTCAGTCTTCTTGCATCAAACCGGAACTGACATTTGTCCTGTTCACCTCACTCCATCCTCCATTTCTTCTCCAGCATCTCTTTCCACTCCAGCAACAAACTTTTACTCTTCATTCCTCACCTTCTCTCTCTTCAGTTTTGGGTTATTCTGGAGCACATTCACCAGCAACTGAGAAGATAGATATTCTCCCAAGCTCTAGTTCCCCATACCTATATACCCCCGTCTGCCAATGTGACTTGTCATTCAGAATCCACCCACAAAATCCTGGCTAGTAGCCAGGTCAATCCCACAGGCATCCTGGCAGCTGCCTTTCAAGACCACAACTGAGCTGGGGTTTTTTCTCCTTTTCCCTCACTACCTTGTTTGGCTCACACCAGCAAAACTGCAGCCATGCAGGCCTCAAAATCTATATTCTACAATCTGTTTATATCTTGTCCGTCTATCCAGTCATTCATCTATTTATCTCAGGTCTGTCAAACACTGCAGGCTAATTCTTGTTTAGTGACTTGCAAAGGGTTCCAACATTTCAGTCATTAAGCAAAAGTGTGACTGACAGATACAGAGATAGTGTGAAGATGACTAAATTGCTGCAGTCTCATTCAGATAGCAATAGCAATAGTACTTAGACTTATGTACCACTTTACAGTGCTTTAAAGCCCTAAGTGGTTTACAGAGTCAGCATATTGCCCCCCAACAATGTTGGGTCTTCATTTTATCCACCTTGGAAGAATGGAAGGCTGAGTCAACCTTGAGCCCGGTGAGTTATTTCTTGCAATGTCCTGTGCCTGAGTATTTTCTGCCTCTTTTTCTGCCCTCTAGCAAGGCAGAGATTGCTTAAATAAACTACCTCTTTTGAGCATCCCTAATGTGCTAACCCCAAGTGAAGAAGTTCAGCTCTGGTCCTTAATTAGTTCATTAAAACCAGTAGGCAGCTGCTGAAACTGACCAGACCTTAATCATACTGAAAAGCTTTTGTTGTCCTACATGCATGCATCTGTTAGAAAATAGATTGCCGTTTCTTATACTGGATTTGAAAAAAGTCACGATCTGGCCCATTTGCTAAATGAAGACTATGGTACTATTTACTGGAGGGTCATATTATATCATACTTAAGTTAGCAGATTAGAATTAGCCTTGTTTTCATCTTCTCTTGTCTAAACTCACGTTTTTAAAAAACTATTTTTATGCTAATATTGACATATGCAACTTTGAGTGTTGATCATTTTTTTCTACAAATACGTAACAGAAAATTATTTTGTACTTTATTAATTATCTTTTAAAGTAACTTAGTTCTATCAGAAAAGTTTTGACATGGTATGGGTCGTGTTTACAGCTCTGGAAAAACACCCTCCTGCCTCTCAATTTTGAAAAATATTTTTTTTTTCAAAAGAGAATCAACTGTTTGTTCCAAAAAAAATATACAGGTCTCATTTCGTACTTCCCCATAAATGCTAAGTTAGGGTTAAATTAGAACACAGTTATCTCTCAGGGTTTTCATAATGCAAATACATAAAATATGTTTCTTAATTCAAACTTGGAATCTGTAGACAGCTACTTTAACATCCTCTGGTGAAGCTCAAATAACAAAGAGATTCCTGCTTAGGACGAATTCCAGAACTCCAAAGATCTACTCATGCCTATGCATAGCCATCTTCATCTGAATGAAATGTATTCCCATATTTGGATCTCTGAAAACATTTACAAAGGGCAAAACTGTAAACTGATATGCAGAAATACTCACTGGCCCATTACATGATTTTTTATAACAAAAATAATTACAGTGGTCATACTGTTGGGTTGAAAATTGTATTAGGAAACAGTCCAAATCATTAAAATACACGCACAAACCTTTTCTTTATCCTTGTATAGTGACCGTAATGTATTGAAAACTGGCGGGCAGCCTTTGCTGAAATTCATCCTCAGAAATTTGTCCAAACACTCCCTGAACTTGTCACCTAAAGAAAAATACATGTGAATTCTGCTACAAGCATGTTGTTTCAAGCCAAACAAATGCTATACTCTTCTCCAATGATAAACAGTAATAATTAGATGTATTGAATTAGAATTCTATTCTATACCTGGTCTGATACCTTACAATGTCTATGTCAGGCTAAATAGAACATTTCTGACATTTTACAAATGAAGATAATGATAAAATATAATAATACCAAAATAATCCTCTCTGTCTCTTTTACAGATAGATTGAAGTATCCAAACGAAACTTACCCAATAAAAAGTTTAATGGCAGTCGTCTTGGAACTAGTCCCCTTGGGTATTTAGTCCAGGCTTCTTCATAGATTTTGAACCTCTCTAACATATTAGCTAGGATAACAAAATCATGTTGTTATACTCACATCCAACCTAAGCTGCCAATCAAATCTTACATTAACTGCCACAGATTTTAAAATATAACAGAAGCTATAGAATCAAAACATAATTAATTTTGCTAAATATCAAACTGACAATTCTAGAGTACCCTTCAGTATGACTAGGACTTTGGCAAAATGATCATTATGTTTTCTTAAACAGCAGCTTCTCGGGCCAAATTATCAATAAAATTTTAAAAGCTGGATCCTATGAATTTGAATCAATTCTCACAGCAAAATCATAATAAGCAAAACATTGTTTGTATTGATCACAGACATGCCACCTGTCTACCTTTCACTGGCTTGTCACTCTAGTTTTCCTATATCCCCTACTCTTTTACACAAGTCAAGCTAGCTTTCTTTCTTTTTCAAAATCATGTTTACACAGATGTACATCTAACAACCAAAAGATATGATAAAGTTCAACCAAAAGTATATTGACATTTGCAGGGATGAATGACATTTGTAAAAACTAAAAATATCTCCATAAATGTTAATAGAGAACTATCTCAATCTTTTATCCAAGAGACATGAAAGGAGCCCCCTTGAAGACTACATTACTTTTGCCCAGGCTTGTCAAACTGGTGGCCCGTGGGCTGGATGCATCATGCCTAGGCAATGCCCATCCCAGCTGAGCAAAGGCAAAAAATATTGCAATACATCACGAGACGCAATCAAGTTTGACGCCCATGCTTTTGGCAAACAGGCGTCCCTGGCAAAGGTGTTGTCATCAGCAAATCCTTTCAATCCAGAAGCACCTTTTGGATGGCTTTGTAAGTGCTTCTGAATTCATACAGAT